CCCCCCCCCAGGGCAGCTCTATGGAGCCCTGTAGCCTCCAGGGAGGCTGCCCCCCTTTATGATTCTCTACATCTTGCTCACACGGGGGTCATCTGGGGTCCCCCTTCCCTTTTACACAGAGGACCGTGGGGACTAGCCATTCTGGGAGCTGTTTCTTGTCCCTCTTAAGCTAACTCCTGGTCCCCAGGGGTAGTCGGGGAACCTTGGCCCTGCATTTCCTAGAAGCCAGACTTCCCCCTGCCCTTCTGGTGCTACCATTAAGAGTGCGTTAAGAGAATGCATGGCTGAAGAAGTAAGTCCTTAGGTGCGGTCAGGAGGCCTCGGGCCACCTTAATAGTCCACTGCTGAGGGGACAGCCAGGATGGAACTCAGGCCCTCTCACTCCATCTTCGGGGGATCGGGGATGCTCTCGGAGAGTGGAGTGAAGCCTAACAGGAGGATGTGTCTCTCGTAGGCCTTGGTCTGCTTAAACACCGTGTCCGTCCCATGGAGGTGGTCCAGCACCCCCAGCACCCCATAGCACTGGTTGAACCTGGAGGAGGGAGAGAGGAGGGTGCTGGAGGCCCCTGTGCTGACCTCCAATTCATTTGTGCCAGCCTCACCCATTTCTAAACCCTCCTGCTCCCCACCATGCTGACCACCTGCATCAGAGTACCCAGGGGAGATGTGGCACACATTTGGGGCCACTCCAGACTGGAAACCTGCAAGTTTCCTTTGAAAAGTTCTCATTGTGATTGCGATGCACACAAGTCAGAACCTGTGGCAGAACTCGGCTTGTTCAGGTAGGTTCAGGGGACCACCTGAATCAGAATCCCCTGGAACACCTATTAAATGCAGATTTCCAGGCCCTGCTCCCTGCCCCCAGACACTGATTCAGCATATTTGGAGTGGAACCCAAGAGTGTGCGTTTTGGCAAAGCACATCTCAGGTGATTCCGGTGCAGGAGGTTCCCAGACCACACTTGAGAAAGCCTGGAGTCTTTTGGTGCACAAGTCCCCTTGAACTGCATGCAGGACTTCTATGTATATATACATTTTCTGACAGTGCCCATAGCTTATATTGGGTACTCAAAGGGTCCAGGACCTAAATAAAGTTTAAAAACCCTGTTGCAGGAAGATCCAGAGTAAGAAAGAAGGAAAGAGCAAGGTGGTCTGGGATCCAGCATGGTCATTATTTTCCCCACCCCCAGACCTCCCTCCACTAGCCCCACATTTAAACAGACAGCAGTGTCTGCTAGCAGACGCTCTAGGAATAAAGGGGGAGCTTCCTGCCTAGGGACCCACGGTGGGAAGGGGAGCCTTACTTGAGATGGTGATAGTCGTGGAACTCGGGTGAAGGCAGGAAGGGTAGGTGGTAGCCACAGTGGGAGATGGTGGTGACAATGAGGGTCAGGGAGAACCACACGACGATGGAGGACAAGTGGGAGCCCATGACTATGGGGCCCACCATCGCCGGCAGCATGTTGGAGACCTGCAAAGGGACGGCTGTTGGGAGGTGGGTCCCAGGGAGATGGAGAGGACTCAGTTGGGTGTCCCCTTTGCCCCACGGTGGTACTAGGAAATACTTCCTTGACTCAGGTCTGGAGAAGATGAGTGTCAGGACCTTGGTTTGCTGGAACCGCTCACCTTTGTAGCTTGGGAAAATGTTAATGGTTTGAGCATCAACTTCCTCGTTAGTAAAATGAGGATTAAAAGGGTTCTTGGGAAGATTATGTTGGGCATCTAGCATAGCCTGGCACATGCTAAGTCAACAAGTGGTAGCTGTTTAATGGGAAGGAAAGGGCCAGTGTGGTCTGATTCTCTGGGGAGACCCTAGGGAAGGTGGCTGGGCCTGTGCCCCTTGCGTCTACTCACCACGTGCTCGATAGGGTGGGCATAGAGAGAGATCACACCAATGGGAGCCGTCCACTCGTGGTGTTTCTTATGGATTTTCTTGTAGAATGCTGGGTGGTGAAGGAGCCTGGAAAATAGAAAATAGTTAATAATCTTCCAATCTCCCTTCTTTTCCCACCAGACCAGGAGAAACCAAAGGTAGGGACCAGAGGTTACATCTGTGGAGCAAGCTTGAAAACACACAGACCTGCCTGGAGCTCTCACCCCACCTCTTACTGGGGGTGGGTTACTTTGCCTCTGTTCACCTCAGTTGTATTAGCTATAAAATGGGGATGATGCCCAGAAAGATCACTAAGGAAATGAATGGGAGAGGCCCCGCTGCACACACGAATGGAGAGGCTCACTCTTTTCTGGACAGTCTCAGTTGTCCTCATTGTCAGTTGTGGAACAGAGGTGTCTCCTGTTTACTACTATGTGGGAGGCTTTTTAAAATATTTATCTTCATTGATTTCAGAGAGAGGAAGGGAGAGGGAGAGAGAGAAACATCAATGATGAGAGAGTCACTGATTGGATGCCTCCTGCACGCCTCCTGCTCAGGATGGAGCCCACAACCTGGGCATGTGCCCTGACTGGGAATTGAACTGAGACCTCCTGATCCCAAGTCAGTGCTCAACCGCTGAGCCACGCCAGCCTTGTGGGAGGCTTTTGAGGCCAGGTGGTGCTGGCCTGCAATCCCGAGGCCATGGTTCCTCGTAGGCAGGAGAGAGTGAGGGGCCGGCTGTGCTCAGGCAGGGCCCCACTCACCGGTGTGAGTAGTAGAACATGACCTCCTCGATCAGAGTGAAGACCGCCAGCTCCAGGAGGACCCAGTGGAAGGTGGGCAGCTCTCGGCGGCAGGGGTCTCTCCACAACTTGAGGGTGGGATAGAGGAAGACCACAATGGGGAGAGAGATCAGGAACTGGTTGAACAGAACTGTGCGCACGGACTGGCGTAGTTTCACAGGGTCCACCTGCCAAGGGAAGGAAACAGGGAGATGGATGACAATGTGGAAAGTTGTCTTCTCCTTCTAGAAACTAGGCTCCACGGTGACCTGCCAGGAGTGATGCCTGGCTGTAGGTGGCAGCCCCTGCCTGCCGCCCAGCCCTGGGGCTGAACCATGTGGTAATGCCCCTGCCTTAGGAAACTTGCCTCCCGGCAGCCTTCAGGCTGCCTGAACCTGCCTTCACCTTCCTGGTTCTGCAGCTATCACCACAGTCCTGTTTCTCTGGACAGGCCTTGGGGGAGCCTCCAGGTTGCTTGGAGAAGCTCAGCTCTCCGATTGACATCGTCATTCAGCCTTCTAGCCCCTCCTCAGCCAGAGAACCTTGACCTTGATCAGACGCAGAGATGAAGGCCCTCCGCCTCTTGTGGTCCAGCCTCACAGGACTAGGCCCAGAGTGCAGAAGGAGGTGAGCCAGGGAGCTGCCTGTCCGGCCTCCTGATTAACTTCCTGTGACCCAGTTTCCTCGTTCTCACAGCCAGCATTTTCCCAAGAATCAGTAACCCCCCGGCCATTCCCTTCATGGGAGCACTGGGAGTCCCAAGAATAGCCCCATAACCACGGGTGACTTCCTGGGGTCTGAGGAACTGGCTTAGGATTGGTCGGAAGGGATTTCTCCCCGCGCTCCCTCTGTAAGCTGTAGGGGTTTCTTCCCCAAGGTGAGCCTGGCTTCATGGTGGTCCTCAGACTAAGCCTTCCCCTTCCTCCAGCCTTTCCAGGTACTGTGTCACCAAGAGATGATGATTTTGTGATTATTTTAGGAGATGCAGGCTGAAAGATCCAGGGTGAAATTTGGAAGTCTGGATTTTGAAGTCTGGAACTTTCAAATGCTTAAGCAAAAGAATTATAGAGATATAGAGATTTACATTTTTATACATTGATGAAGTAAATGTAAAATGTTTAAAATTGGGGAATCTAGGTGATGTGTAAATGAGTGTACTGCTTTTTCAACTTTTGTATATATGTTTACAATTGTTCATAATTACAAAATATTGGGGAGGAAAAAGTGGACAGAGAGGAACTGGAAACTGTAGACAAAGAGCCTTGCTGCAAAGGAGAGCAGAAATATGAGTGGTAGGGAGCATGGGAGACTGGGTCAAGGGTTTTTGTTTGGTTTGGGTTTTGTTTTGCTTGTTTTTTCGTTTTTTAATCCTCACTCGAGGATATATTTTTATTGATTTTAGAGAGAGAGGAAAGGAGAGAGAAAAAAATCACATTGATGTGAGAGAGAAACATTGATCGGTTGCCTCCCGTATGCACCCCAAGCAGGGATAGAAACAGCAGCCTGGGTATGGGCCCTGACCGGGGATCAAACCCATGACCTCTCGGTGTACCAGACGATGCCCCAACCGAGTCACACCAGCCAGGGCTGGTTTGGTTTTAAGATGGAAAAAATTATAGCATGTTGATAATAATCCAGAGAGGAGTAATCTAGGACAGGAAGGAAAAAAAGATACACTGAAAGAGAAGGGGGAATTGCTGGAACAATTTCCTGGAGCCAACACGAGGTCCTGGGCTGTGGTGCCCCTGTAGGGGGTGAGGAGAGCTCGCCTGCTGCATCGGGCAGGGAGGCGGGGCATGTGCTGGAAGTGCAGGATCCGGAGGAGACGTTGGGGATTTGAGGAAAGAGGAGAGGTGTGAACTAGCTATCCAGGAGAGTGGGAGAGTCAACCGGCCAGGGACGGACCTCATGAATGCCTCCAGTGCTCAGGCGCCACCTGAGGATCTGTTTCTGATGTCCTAGGTGAGGGATCAGGCCTTTCTGGAATTGGCCGAAGACTAAATGGCCTCCAGGGCTTCCTTCTTTCTTGTGTGTCTACCTGAGGATGCACACAGTGTAGGAGCACTGGACCTGGAGTCAGGTGAGACTAGCCCTGGCTCTGTTCCCTGGGAACACTCTGACCTTGAGCTGGTCGCTGCTCCTCTCTGAACCTCTGCTTCTGCAAAATGCGACACCTTCCCTGTGTGGCTCTGCAGTCATTGTAGGCTGTGGAGTGTTGCCAGGTTAGGTGATATTCTTGAGAGTTGATGCGGCCTTGTGTTTAGCAACATGAACCCGGGCTTCAGAAAGCTTGAGTGAGAATCATGGCCTGCCCATGTCACATCTCAGAACCTCCGTTTTCTCATCTGAACCACGAAGGTTACTACAGCACGTGGCCTGGCAGATGTCAGCATCTCATCAATGGTGCCTGGTAAGGAGACCCCCATGATGGACACGGCTCTCAATGGCCAAACACTGGCTTTGACACTTAGGCTCCAGTCCACGCCTACCAAGCTGGACCTGGGGAAACCCCCTGGCTGGCTGCTCTTGTCCCAAGTGAGGGGAACTGTGAGCCAGGCCAACAGCTCTGGTTCAGGAAGGGGCTTTCCAAAAGTCCAGGTCAAAGGCACTCTTTTCCAGCCATTTTTCCTTCTGGAGCGCAGGGCTCGGGCAGAATGCCCAAGAGCTGAGGTGATTCACCCAGGTACCTGGGCCGATCCCTCAAAGAGGATTGTCTTCTCTGGGAAAGAAGCCAGGGTGTGATTGGGGTGGAGGACCTGGGTTGGAGAATCACCTTCTTCCTTGTTGGATAGGAAAAGGCTCCTGGAGGTGGTGAGCTGGGCTCAGGGAGCAGTGGGGCTCTCCCGGCGCTGTGTGAGTGGGTGTGTGCTGGCCTTTGTCCCACCTGCGCCGGGAGTTCCTTGTGGGCAGGGGCTGGGCCTTGCTTATTTGTCATGGATAAACTAAGCACTGTGGGTTGAACTGAATAATTGGGAAAGAAGACCTGCTTGAAAAACCACCACAACCCACACATTCGGAATCCACACTACCCATCTAGCATAGTTGGGTCGGCCATTGTTTCCACAGCTCACTCCCTCCCTCACGACAGCTGGTATCCGTGGTTCATCTTCCAGCCATTGCTCATCCTGTGCCTGTGGCAAAGGGTGGAGCTTCCTGACATCTCCAGGACTCACCCAGTGCCAGGCTGAGCTGATCACTTCTGTCCCTAAAATGCTAACCCCAGTGCTGTGGGGAGACACAGGCAGGGACAGTGTGGGGCTGGCAATCACAAGACCACAACAGTAGTCTTCACTGGCTGGCTCTAAGGTTTGGGCCGAAATACTTCTTTCTAAACTTCTAACTTGAGGGAGCCTCATGCACCATGAGGGAGCCTTGGCTCAGCCTGGCCCCGGTCTCTCCCAGGCCAGTGGTGAGAATGTTGAGAGTGGGGCTTTAGCGCCTGCTTTCTGGGCTTTGACCGGGAGGAGCTGCAACCACTCTTACCGGTTCATTCTTGCCGACCTGAATCCGGTAGCGGGAGATGAAGTTAGGTTTCCCAGTTGTGTCAACCACTAGGAGAAGCCCATTGAAGGTCCAGAATGACAGAGCGGGCAGGTAGGTGGCACCTGAGGTTGGGAAGCAGAAGGGAACAATCAGGGTGACTTCAGGTTCTCACAGAAAGTACATGAATTCACTACACAACTGACGGTGACCCAGGTGGCACTGTAGACAGTCCCTTGTCAGGAAGGTCTTGGTGCTTGAAGCCAGGGGATCTACCTTTAGTCCTGGGTGACAAACTAGCCGAGGGGAGCTTGGACAGGTCACTTAAGGAGTGTCTTATTTTCATTTTCTTAGTTGTAATACAGGGACAACAACCTTCTAAGTGGTTAAAGATTTAAAAATAAAAGTATGTACACTAAAATATAAATCAACTCAGGCTGACATTTGAACCCTTTGAATTTCCAAGGAAGGGAGAAGGAAAGGAAGTAGGGTACGGTATGGCTCACAATGCGCACTGGACTAGGAGTCGGGGACCTAATCCCTGGTGCCCTGCTGACTGAGCAGTGCCACCCAGGCACCCGTCCCATCATCGTTTCCCAAAGTGGGAAACTCATCCCTCAAGGGGCGTGTTGGTTAAACAGCCTTCACACCTACTGTCCTGGAGGGTCACGGTCCAGACTAGTGTGCTCAAGGCTCTGAGAATTCCTGCAGCAAAGAAACCTGTTTGATTTGGTCAAACTCAACCTTTCCCAGGCTTTTTTTTAACCCTTTTTTTAACACTTCTCATCATTGTAACAGAAATATGTAAAATGTTTCCCCACCACTTTCCCCATAGACATTTGCAATCCACACTGTTCTTTTCGATGACTGCTTAAGATCCCTTTGAACCAGTCATACTCGTTCAGCCCGTTTTCAGAGTTATCCATCCAGCTGAAAACAAGGGGCATTTTATTTGTACTTTCGCTTTGTGACAACTGACACTTTTTTATCTCCCCTTCTAGACTGGGACATAGGTTTTTGCTGGGGGAGACCAGCGCTTCGTCTTCAATATCTCTCTTCCATGCGAGTCTGGCACAGAGTCACGTTCATAAGTCTTATTCGAGTGGATGGGGACATTCGTTATGTAGACAATGCTGTTATAGTTGAAATGGCTATTTTCTTCCACGATGTTTTCTCAGGCTTGTTTCCAGCCATTCACACTGTCAGTAAATATATGAGTGACCGCTTGCTGTCCAGCCCCAAGAGCTAGATGGCACCAAGTACAAGGACACAGCCTCACATGACATTGAGCAGCTGTCTGCACTTGTAGGCCTGACATCTAGAAGCAGGAGTATTGTTCTAAACCTGCCTTCATTTTCACGCAAACGATTTCTTTCTTCATTTTTCTATTTTCGGGGGGCAGGGAGGTCTCTATTTCTCAACTTCTTTGGTTAGATATGCTTAGACATCCATTCCAAATTGCCCACAAGTTGAGCACTGTCTTAAACTTTAAGTCCTTACTCCTTGTAGTAATGAGCTGAGCAAGATAAAAGTAAAAGAATTACGCCATAGTCGTGTACCCAAACCCCCAATGCCAGTGATCCAGGAACCTCACCTATCACAAAGAGGGTCCACTCCTTCCCTTCGAATGTGAACAGCAGCCTCTCCCACTGGGTTTGCCAGAAGTAGCCAGAAGCACCCCAAAATCTCTGAAGATGCCTTGGAAGAAAAATCACTCAGGTTTCTGGGTGGGGACTGGTGGGCGCTCTACCCAGACCCCCACCACACTGCCCTCAGGTCCAGCAGACTCACCATGTGACTGAGTTCCAGAAGGCCACAAGCAAGAGAAGGCCAGAGCCCAGGATGAAAGCTGTCTTCCTCATGGAGCCCCAGATGTGTCCCTCCTGGGGGGGATAAGGCAGTGTCAGGCCCCAGCAAGCCTGCCTTCCCACGAAGCTCACTGCTGAAGCCTGGCAGGCGTGATATATGATTGGGATCTCAACCACGCCAGCTTTGTGGACCTTTCCCCCGTTTCTACGGGAGGCTCATCCTTATCAAGAGCTCTGCGCTGTAGATGGATGTTTATGGAAATTAGAGCTCAGGGTTCAGGGAGGGAAGGGAACCAGCCTGACTCGAGGGAAACTGGCAGGCAATTCTGTCACCCAGAGAAAGGCAGGCGAGCCTTCCAACAGCTGTGGGGTTTTGTCACCAGTCCTCTTGTTGAACAGCAATGCACGTTATGTAGGCATTGGAATCACCTGGGAGCTTTTTTTTAAATTCAGATGTACTGGCCCCTCCCCAACCCAATTATGTAAGAGCCTCTGGGGTGGAGGCTGGGCCTCTGGGTTTTTAAAAGTTCCCCAGCTAATTCCAAGGCTAAGCCAGCATCACAGAAGGCCCTGCAGAATCCTTAGTGAGGGCACGGGGACTTCACTGCGCTCACGGGCCAGGCCTGTTTTCCCATCCCCGTGACCCTCTTGCCCTTGAAGAAACGAGTAAATGAACATATGTTCTGACTTTCAAGGATCCCTCTGCCTTCCAGCAAGACTAGCCAAGGTTGCCAGCTGCACAGACGCTGAGCAGTTCTAGGGGCAAAGAGCAGACCACTGGCAACCCCTGGGAGGAGCTTCCATGTCCTCCAAGAGCCTAAAGCAGAGATCACAGCAAGCCTGCTGCTCACACATGAAGGTCCCAGCCTTGGAGAGGGAAAACACTGGCTGCCAGGTGAGTCACCAGTTTTCTTGTGCCGTGGACAGGAATTACAAACATCCCTTACATCCCATGTTTCCAAGCCCAGATGGAGTCAGCTCAGATTCTTTCCTGGAGGAGACCTGCAGGTGCTGGGCCCCGTGTGCCTGGAGCTTATCTGCAGTTCAGTGAACTGCGCCAGACACGAAGGGTCAGGGGGTGTGGTGGGGGAGGAGTGGATTGAATAGGACGCTCCATTTTCACCCAGAGACCTGAAGGAGCAGATTGTTTTGATTGACCCATTCAGAGCAACCTGAGTCTGCACTGAATCATTTCTTCTCGGCTTACCTGTCCCACCTTTGATCAAATGACCAAAAAGCAGCAGGTCATTTTCCACGGCCAGTGAACAGTTGTTGAAAGGCTAGTGCTCATCGGGGCCTTGAGCTCTGGAAATGAGCTTTTCTCTCTCCCTCTCCCTCCGTGAGGGCTGGATCCACAGGATCAGAGGAACTTGCTCTTTTACACAGGCCATTCACTCCGAGGTCAGCCCCTGGCTCATCACACAGGTTATCTTGGGCTTTTGCAATTATCCGTTTTCTAGGACTCAGAGGGCCCTGCTCATGAGCTTTTCCAGACTCACTAGGAATTTTTCATTTGCGTTTAATCAAATCAAGCTAAGTCAAATTAAAAACCTCAGCCTCACATTTAGGGTTAGATGCTTTTTCAGGGATTGAGGTGATTTCTCTCTCCAGCAGCCCAAGTGAAGGGACTATAAACAGAACATGGACCTCTGTGGAGGGCGGGGGCATGCAGTGGTGCAGTGCAGAAGTTAGCTGGGGTCAGGAGCTGGCTCCCAGCCCCCGTTTCCAGTCCCCAGTGGGCCTCTCTCTTCCCCAAAGCAGTTCTAGAGAGGGGTGGTTCTGAAGGCCTGAGGCATGGGGCACTCTAAGGGCCAGCAGACAGTGGTAGGGTAGCTTTCGGGCTGGCTGCACCCAAGTGCAGGTAAGGGGGCTTTGCTTACAAGGCGGCTTGGAGTCAGGTGCTCTTGGCTCAGCTACTGAAACGAGCACATCACCAATGTGTCAGTTTCCCCTAAACCTTGGGGGAGACGTCAGATACGCGGCAGTCGCCCAGATGGGAAGAGTCACTGGCTGCGCTCCCACCAGTGCGGTGGGTGGGGAGCTGGCATTTACCTGCTTTGGCCTCGCATCGTGGAGTCGACTTCCAGCTTCTCCCTTCATCTGGAATAAGAAAGTACAGGTGAGTCTGGATGTCATTTCACACACAGCCAAGCAAGTAGGGAACAGGGAGAGCCAAGGGGAATGGCTAGCAGCGATTTTTAATGCTGGCTACTCATTAAAATCACCTGGGGAGTTAAGAAAACTTGCTCTGGGCATGAGTAATATGAATCAGGGGCTTGGCAATGGGACTTTGTCTGCCTGGAATAGGCTTTCTCAGAGATGAGACAAATCCTTTTTATTTATTTATTATTATTTTAGTGTACTGATTTTTTTTGGAGAAACTGATTAGAGAGAGAGAAAGAAACATCGATTTGTTGTTCCACTTATTTATGCATTCATTGGATGCTTCTTCTATGTGCCCTGACCGGAGATCAAACCCACAACCTTTGCATATCAGGAAGACGTGCTAACCAGCTGAGTTCCCAGCCAGGGCCCAAATCCTTCTTTTTGAAGAGCTTCACTCTCTGCCTCAGCATGACTCTCTCATACAGAAGAAATCTCTGTCCTCTGAACTAACTGTCCCCTCACTGCCAATGACCTATGGCCCTAGGAGACAGGGCTGACGCCAGGGCTCTGCCTCTGACTCACTTGGACAGCTTCCTGAGCCTCTGTGAAGTCAGGTTACCACACATGGACTGGATTTGCCACACTGACTAAAACTGAAGCATTCTGGAAACCGTTCAACGTGATTCAAACAGTAGGTATATTTATATATAGAAATCATTAGGACAGTGAACCTTGAAACCGGATACCTTTCTCAAGGTCACATCTCAAGGTCACATTTCAGTTGTAGCTATCACTTACTAGTCCTTGTGACCTTGGTCAAGTTATCCTCTCTGAGCCGCGGTTCCCTTAGCTATAAAATGGGAATAATTCGAGTGTCTCTCACTCATGTGATCTCTGCTGGGTGGCGGTAAGTGCCAGGAGGACGGGCTCTCTGCGGATCCTTCCTGGGCCTCCACAAAGCAGGTGCTTAGCGCATGTGCAGTGGATGAATTGAGCAGAGGCTCTGGTTCAGGGGTTCCTACACTGGGGCAATCACCTTGGATTGCTGTCACCTTGTGACTATTATGAAAAATGCTATTAGTATTCACGTATACAATTTTTGGATCTATTTTTACATTCCTCCTGGATATATGCCTAGGAGAGGAACTGCTGGGTCATACAGTAACTATAGTTCACCTTCTGAGGAACTGCCAAACTGTTTTCCAAGTGGTTGCACCATCTTACATTCCCAACAGAAATGTCTGAGGGATCCAACTTCCCTCCATCCTCACCAACACTTATTATTACTATCATTTTAATCCTTGCCCGAGGATATGTTTCTATTGATTTTAGAGAGAGAAGAAGGGGGGAGAGAGAGAGAGATGTGAGAGAAAGAGAAACATCGACTGGCTGCGTCCCCTGCACGCTCCGACTGGGGATTGAACCCACCACCTTTTGGTGCACAAGACGACGCTCCCCCCAGCCAGGGCCTTGCCAAGATTTGTTACTGTCCCTGTTGAAAAGTGTCATCACCTGGCCAAAGAGAAGCATGATAGATCACCTGGTCCTGCCATGTGACCAGGATGAAGGAACCTAGACAAAGGAGGCTAGGTGACCTCTCAGAGTTTACAGACGGCAAAGCCAGGATCCGGGCCCAGTTTCCTATATTTCTAAGGACATTTTGTTCTTTTGTGTTTGATGACTGTACTTGGTTTTATAATTCTAAGTGCACGTTTACCAGCTACGACCTTAGGAAATGCTGCTTCCCTGGATCCACATTTCTTATAGGTTACTTAGGCCTAAAGAAGGAAGAAAGAATGGTGATTTATAAAGTTGGGACAGCAGGAGGTGACAGGCAGAGGTGACAGGAGATGCTCACCATCTCCATGTGAATCACATCACAGCAGGAGGGGTGCAGTCAGCTCAGAGAAGAAGCCTGCCAGGGAGAAGTGCTGGGACATTGGATCAGATCAGGGAGGTAGCATCTGATTTAAGAAAAGGAACCCAAATGTTTGGCCTATTGGCCCAACTCCCACCTGGAGGCCAGGAATGGATTTCCGCCATTCTATAGCCACCCCTCCCCCTCCCCTAACCCAGCCCGCCCTGGGCCTGCTTTTTGCCATCCCCACTCCCTCCTCGGCTCCTGCCAGCAGGGCGATCTGATCTGTAGTGGTCTGTAGGTGTGGGATTCTGCCTCACTGGGAGTTCCCATGAAAACCAAGCAAAGAGAAGTAACAGAGTGAAGCTGCAGGCGCTCAGTCCCTGCTCTGACACAGGGCGGTAGTCAGGCTCCTCTGCGTGCTTGGTTGTTGGGGTGATGTAGAGTCATATTCTGTGCCACCTGAGGCTTCCAGAGGATAGCTGAGCAAGCATTTCAGGATGGGCAGCCTCAGCCCCAATGGATGGAAAACACTCCTGCCCCACATCTGGGACAACAGTGTTACTTGAAAATCTGGGTTTATAAGGATTCCAAAGCATTCTCCTTTAAATCACGATTTTCTGCTCCTTCACTGTCCAGAGCATTTCCAGTTGGCCCGATCCTGAGTCTGGCACACATTGTCTCAGAGTTCAGAGAAGCCACCCTTTGCACAGCGACAGGATTCTGGGATGAGGCAGGTCACTGTCAATCCTGCAGTTTGCCTGCTGCCTGGAGTCCCCCAAAGCATGGATCATTACGCATGAGGAAGGCAGTGGTGCTAGGTACCTTTGCGGATAAGCCTGTCAAGGGTCTTAATAACAAGGAAGCAAAGATGAAAGGAAACACCACCAGTTGGGAGACACGGAGAGCTAAATATCTGCAACTGACACCTGCAGACAGGTAGAACCATCACACCACCAGGGATTTCCCTCCTTGGAGGTGGTTGAGAAGAGCGAAAGGCTCTGGTGACCCTGTTGAGATAAGCATCCTGTTTGGGAAGGAAGCTGAGGGGCTTGTCTTTTAAGCTTTCAGGGCTTTTTTTTTCTCTTTAATATGTCTTTATTCCAGAGTGAGGAAGGGAGAGAGAGAAATAGAAACATCAGTGATGAGAGAGTCATTGATTGGCTGCCTCCTGCACGCCCCCTACTGGGGACTGAGCCCGCAACCCGGGCATGTACTCTGACTGGGAATCGAACCCCGACCTCCTGGATCCTAGGTGGATGCTCCACCGCTGAGCCACGCCCGGCCAGGCTCCAGGACTCTTTTTTGCTATGCCATGCCATGGGAACTTCACTTACAAGTCAAAGTCTCACTCCTAGCCTTTTCCCAGAGTCTTATTACCACTGTCTTTGCCAAGAGCTTGTGAAACAAATAAGATATGATCTTTGACCTTTTAGAAACTCATTCAATCCTGAGATTATTTATGAAGAACTTAACTCTGTGCAAGGAGCCCTGGAGATGCAATGATAAATGAGAAGCTCCATCTAGAAGTCCAAAATCCATGTAGAAAGTACTGGGCTAGATGTCTGGGCCAGAGCTGAGAAAACACCAAGTAGGGCAGGAGATCTGGCACACCCACAAAGGAGGCCAGTGCTCAGGCTTTCTCTGTGCTCTGGGATACATGGTCTCCAACCTCAGAACGGAGCCTTCCCCTCCCAGACTGCAGTTTAGCTTGTCCAAGGAATGCTGAGTTTTAGTTAGACCATACGTTTGGGTTTTTTTTTAAGCAAGATAGATGTAGAATCTGCCACATGAATATAAAAACTGCCATTGAAGATTATTCCTTACTCCCCAAAAGAAGCAGTGCACTTTTAATGGGATACAGATGATAAATTCCTATGGAGAAATTAGTGCACTTAAGTTTTTCTCTTTGGAAGAAGTAGTATGCTTTCTTGTGCAATGCAAAAAAGAAATAGGCAGTCTGTCTCCCTCCACCCCCCCACCCCCTTTTTTAGAGAGAGAGAGAGGGAGAGAGAGAAACATCTAATTGTTGTTCCACTTATTTATTCATTGGTTGCTTCTTGTATGTGCCCTGATCCAGGATCGAACCCTTCACCTTTGCGTATTGGGATGACACTCTAACCAACTGAGCTACCCGGCCAGGGACCACCATCACCCATTTTGCTCTGGCTGCCAGTAAGCTCAGAGTTTTAGATTTAGTGCTAAATTATACCCCTTGGGGTTTTTTTCTATTATATAATCCTGCACATAAAAAAATGATATGTGTACAAGGATGTTCATTGTGAAATTGTTTTTAATGGCTAAAGATTGGAAACAACTTAAATTCCATCAAGAGAGGACTGGGTAAATAAGAGTACATCCAATAATGCAACTTTCTGCAGCCAGTGACGAAATAAGGCAGCTTTGCCTGTACTCTTCAGAAGCTATCAAGTGAAAAAAGCAGGGTGTGGAACATATGCAGCTGTGCATGTGTGTATTTGTATGCTGTTTATGCATAAAATGATACATATTAGACTATTACTGGAAGAAAACCTGTGAAACTGGTTACAGTGGTGGCTTCTGGTGAGGCGAACTGGGCAGCTGAGGGACGGGGCAGAAACGAGGCTATCTCTTTACCATGTGCCCTTTTTTACTGTTTTGAACTCTGTGCCAAGAGTATATTTTACCTACTCAGAAAATGACGGAAACATTGAAACATTTTTAAATGAATTCAGTGCCCATTCAGAGGAAACATTTTACTGACGAGTCCTAATTTGCTCTCGTTTTACTCTTAATCAGATTAACTTCAATTCCTGAAGGGCTTTGAGAAGTCTTTGTCTCCCTTGAAATTGGATGCCAGTTTCCCCGTGGTCATTTTTCAGGGAGGAAGGATCCACGGCTTTCATTAGATTGCTGAAGGGAACTATGATGATTAAGAAGCAGGGCCCCTCCCCTGGCTGGTTTGCTCAGTGGTTAGAGCCTTTGCCTGAGGACTGAAGGGTCCCGGGTTCGATCCCAGCCAAGGGCACGACATGGAGGCAACCGATCGGTGTGTTTCTCTGATGTCGATGTTTCTCTCCCTCTCCCTTCTGCTCTCTATGAAAAGCCATGGGGGAAAAAAATGTCCTCGGGTAAGGGTTAGAAAAAAGGAAGAGCC